CCCCAAAACCCCAAAACCCCAAAACCCCAAAACCCCAAAACCCCAAGCAGTAATAATTAAAGTGAATAAATGTATAAAAATAAATAAAACAGTAATGGAAGGAACCAAGAAGGACAAGACCATGAAGGAAAAAATGAACAGAGCTTACTTAGACTCTAAGATCAACAGGATCATAGAGCCCATGGTTGTCGAGCTCATGAAGAAGACCCCTGACGACCCTATTACTTATATGATCAATTGGCTCAAAGAGAATCATGGGAATAGGGCATCGATCCATGCCAATGAGAGATTCGAACTTGAACATCTCAGAAAGGAAGTGCCCGTCCTTAAGGAAAAGATCGCAGAACTTGATGATGGAGAAGGAGACGATGACGAAAAAGGCTCTGAAATCGAATCTGATATCAGCGATGAGGAAGATTATGTAGATGAACTCCCTGCCCCTGTTGATAATAAGCTAAAATAAACAGAGAACTTCTGTATCTGCCGAAGCTTTTGGAATCTACCACAAGAAAGAAGATTTCAAACCGGTCGTTATTGAGAAAAGCGATGAGGTGAAAGAAAAAATTCGAAAGCAATTGCAAAATAGTTTCATGTTCAGCGCTCTCACTGAGAAAGACCAGAATATTGTATTGGATGCCATGAAAGAAGTCACAATGGAGCAAGGAGACCATGTTATCCAGCAAGGAGATGACGGAGATGTCCTCTATGTCGTGGGTGCTGGAACTTACGATTGTACTAGAGTCGAACCCGGGCAAAGTGAATCAAAGTACCTTACTAAGTACGAAGAGGGAGCTGTGTTCGGAGAATTAGCTCTTCTATACAACGCTCCAAGAGCTGCAACCATCACATGTGATGTTCCAGGAGTTGTTTACAGCTTGGATCGTGCTACATTCAACCATATTGTAAAAGATGCATCAGTAAAAAGGAGAGAGAAATATGTAAACTTTTTGTCTCAGGTAAAAATCTTAGAATCCCTTGAGCCATATGAAAGAGCTAAACTAGCTGATGCTTTCAAAGAGATCAACTACTCTAGCGGAGATTACGTTATCAAAGAAGATGAAGAAGGAAACACATTTTACTTCATCTCAGAGGGAGAAGCTATAGCAACCAAAACACTTGAAGCTGGAAAACCCCCAGTCGAAGTCATGAAATATCAGAAGGGAGATTATTTCGGGGAAAGAGCTCTGATCAAAAACGAGCCAAGAGCAGCCAATGTTATTGCTAAGACTGACATAGTTGTCCTTAGTCTTGATAGACACATGTTCAAGAGATTGTTAGGTCCTATAGAAGAAATTTTGAAGAGAAACGTTTATGAAGTGCCTAAAACCTCATAAGCAAATACATTCAGTTATATAAATGAAGATAAACTATTTCAATAACTTAGGAATAATAAGGGGTTTTGGGGTTTTGGGGTTTTGGGGTTTTGGGGTTTTGGGGTTTTGGGGTTTTGGGG